GGGAGGCGGGTCCTGAGGGCAACGGGTCCCGAGGTTTTTCCCCGCCTCCGGGCTCCCGGGGCCCTCCACGGGCCCCGGGGCCGGAAGACGACTCGGGATGATCAAGTGGACCCGTTTCTTCTTCCATGCTGAGTGGAGGGGGAACAGGGACAGGAACTGGAATAGGAATTGGAAAAGGAATAGAAACAGGAATTGGAAATAGGAACAGGAACAGAAACAGGAATAGGAACAGAAAGAGGAATTGGGAACGGGAATGCGAACGGAAAGCAGGAATTGGAACAGGTATAGAAATAGGGAGCCTCCCCCTCTCCACCTCCTCCCCCTCCACCGCCCTTTCCCACCTCCACCTCTTCAGGAGGAGGAGGAGGTGGAGGAGGTAGGCGTGTGGGTGGGGGGGCCGGGGAGGTGGAGAAGGAAGGGGGAGGAGGGGTTTAGGAATGGATGGAGGAGGAGGAGGAGGAGGAAGGAGGAGGAGGAGGAGGAGGAGGAGGAGGAGGAGGAGGAGGAGGAGAGGAGGAGGAGGAGGAGGAGAGGAGGAGGAGGAGGAGGAGGAGGAGGAGGAGGAGGAGGAGGAGGAGGAGGAGGAGGAGGAGGAGGAGGAGGAGGAGGAGGAGGAGGAGGAGGAGGAGGAGGAGGAGGAGGAGGAGGAGGAGGAGGAGGAGGGGGAGGAGGAGGAGGAGGAGGAGGAGGAGCAGGGGGGGAAGGAGGGGTGGGGAGATGGGGCCAGCTGAGGCGCACGAGCCGCCGTGTTCCTCAGAGAATTTGTCCGCACAGGGGGCTGCGGGGCCTTCGCCCCGCCCCTGGTTTCGCGGCGTGCCCTACACGCCGAAGACGTCATTCAATTCGGGGGCTTTGGGAGGAGGAGGAGGAGGAGGAGGAGGAGGAGGAGGAGGAGGAGGAGGAGGAGGAGGAGGAGGAGGAGGAGGAAGAAGAAGAGGAGGAGGAGGAGGAGGAGGAGGAGGAGGAGGAGGAGGAGGAGGGGGAGGAGGAGGAGGCATGAAGCTTGGCCATGTCTCGGAAGCTGGGCGAGGGCTGCTAAAACCGTGGCTGCTATAACGGCCCTCCCGGAAGGAAAAAACAGCTTCCCGGCATTAGGCGCGGCACGGGAAACAGTCAACGGGCTTCTTCCCGGAAGGACGAAGACAGTTTCCCGGAGGTCGATTTTAGCAGCCACGGATTTAGCAGCCCTTGCCCGGCTCCCGAATGTCGGTCAAGCTAGCACATAAAAGCGCCAACATTGTCTCAGCCACCATTTGATCAGAGGCACCACCAGGAGTCTTGATCACAAGTCGCAGTCGTAATTATGGTCATTGGCATCGTCACAGTGGCATTGTGATTGCCAGTGTGTCAGTGCCATTGTCGTAGTGCACGCACTCATGCTCATTACTCATACCCACTATTCGTTTTCGTAGGATCAAGGCGATCCATTTCACATGCAGCTGGGCGCGCCTTGGAGCTTTCTGGCGACGTCTTGCGAGCCAACCGGGGCCTTTCAGTGGCACTTCGGAGCCTCTTAGGGTTCTCTAGCGCCACCTTGGTGCGTTCGGGCGCAGCCTCTTGGTCGGCTTCCTGGGCCCATCCGAAGGCCTTGTGGAGCGGACTCGAGGCGTTTTGGGGTCCGCTCGGGCCGTCTTCTGGGGCCACCTCGGGGCTATCTTCGGGACATCTTGGGCAATCCCGATCCGCCGCCGCGCTTGCGGCTGTCGGTGTGCGTCGGGCCCCTCGCTCTTGGCGAAGCAGCAGTGGGTGCCCCCCGACGCATTGAGTCCAAGGTGCATTCCCTTTTGCCCAATTCCTTGTGCAGAGCGCTGGGAAGGGGGGGGGTTCAATGAGTAAATATGCTCCTCTCCGCCTGATCTTACACTTGCCTTTCTCGCTGCCTGCCTTGCCCCACCTTGACCCTGCGGCACTGTGCCGCAGCTGTTTGTGCTTACAGGACAGACAAGGAGCGTGCTGGCTTGCACGCGCGCGCCGAGGGGGCGCTCCCTCGTCGTAGTCGTGTCGTCGGCCGGCCGGCCTCCTCCTTTCCCATTCCTGAGTGCACTTGCTTAACGGTTACCTGAAATTTCCTCGATGTCTCATCCCGTATCCTCTACTATTGGGCAGAGTCAACGCGAGACCTTAATTCTTTTGTCACCTTACCCCGATTCTCAGAGGAAAGATTGGTTATCAGCCGAAACCCGCGACCAAGTCGCAACAGGGATGAGCTATGATGAGACAACCGAATTGCCCGTCAGAGCCGAGCTTGTATCGCAAGTTGTACAACATGACGGGCAAGAACCACAGGACGGCGGCCCGGGGAGGGGCCGCCTTCTCTCTTCTTCTATCGCCACTCGGGTCTCTCGTGGAAGGAGCAGGGAAGAAGTTATAGATTTGTCAAGAGATGATTCCCCCTCTCGAATCCCGATCGGTGATCGTGAACAGACCCCAGACCCGACGAGGCGAGATTGCACAACAGCAATGATCAGACGAGGAGCATTCTCGTCGTTGATTGCCGAATCTTCGGATACAATAAACTTCAGCCCGATTGCCATGCGGACTATTGTGCCAGCCGCTGGCC